TGTGTATATAAGAAAAAATGCATACTAAAGTTGCTAGGGGCTGGAGAGATGGCTCAGCAGTTAAGAGCACTTACAGAAGACCTGGGTGCAAATCCCAGCACCCAGTGACTCCCAACCATTTGTAACTAACTCCAGTTGAGGGAATCTGAAGCCCTCTTCTGGCTTCCTTAGGTACCAGGCATGCAAAAGGTGCACACACAAACACACAGGCAAATCATTCATATACATAAGTAAGTCTTAAAAGAAAACAGTTTAAAAGTTTTCTGTAGGGCTGGAGAGATGGCTCAGTGGTTAAGAGCAGTGACTGCACTTCCAGAGGTCCTGAGTTCAAAAAATCCCAGCAACCACATGGTGGCTCACAACCATCTGTAATGAGATCTGACGCCCTCTTCTGGTGTGTCTGAAGACAGCTACAGTGTATTCATATATAATAAATAAATAAATCTTTTAAAAAAAAAAAGTTTTCTGTATTAGCTGGGTGTGGTAGTGCTTGTCTGTAATCCAAGTACTTGGGAGATAGAGGCAGGAGAATCAGGACTTCAAGGTCACCCTCAGCTACAGTGAGTTTGAGGACTGCCCAGTCTACATGAGACCCTGTCTCAAATCATTTGATATTAGCCAGTTTCAGACATTTGCTGGGTGTCTTAGAAGAAACCTTCTCAAGATAACAAATCGACACCAGTATTTTGAGAGAGACAATATTACAGAAAATTTAAAGGGTGCTTGTGTGCAAATGTGAGTTCAATTCCAGAGCTTCTGTAAAGGTGGAAGGAAAGGATTGACACTATAAAGTGTTTCCTCCAACCTCCACCCTACTCCCAACACACAGGATTATAACAGGAAACTTTAGAATCAGGGAGTTTGGGACAGCCTGCAATCCTGTTAGGAATGAGAATGCTTTTGAGAATAGGTTATGTAGAACACAGGGTGAAGGTCGCCAATCCTTGCGTTCCAGACACTGAGCTGGAGGATCATAAATTCAAGGCCCGCCTGGGTGACACAGTCATACCTTGTCTTGAGCCCAACAATAGCTCGATTTTGTTTCTAGAACAACACAGACGACCCTAACACTGCGTACAATTTCAGGGAACAGAGAGACTCCTAGAAACCTACATGTGAATTGTGAATCAACAGTTATATCCACAGAAACAGCCATGACAATGCAGAATCTATGTGTTGAGATGAGCAGAGATGGACGACAGAGCCTGAGGAAACCCCAACCATCAAAGAGAAGGCTAGACAGGAAGACCTCTGTAGGTGGGAAATCCATACAGGTGGAGATATCAGTGGAGAGTGAGACAAGGCTGGCAGACATCTCCTATCTTTCCTCTGGGCTGTGAGCAAACGTAAGCACTGTTAGAACCAACAGTAACATTTCAAAGTTCTTTTGTTTTGTTTTGTATTGTTTTTGTTTGTTTTTGTTTTTCGAGACAGGGTTTCTCTGTGTAGCCCTGGCTGTCCTGGAACTCACTCTGTAGATCAGGCTGGCCTCGAACTCTTTAACTCAGAAATTCGCTTGCCTCTGCCTCCCAAGTGCTGGGATTAAAGGCGGGCGCCACCACCGCCCAGCCCAAAGTTCATTTTTATTTTAAGACAGGTTCTCATGTATTCCAAGCTGACCTCTTCTAATAGAGGACGGTGTTGACCTTCTGATCATCTGGCCTCTCCTTCCAGAGTGCTAGAATTACAGGCATTAGCCACTGGGTCTAGTTTTTGTGGTGTTGAGGCCTGCTCAGAAGGGGCCAGATGGACAGATTAGTGAGCTGTGTTGTGTGTCCTCTCCCTCTACAATGCTGTTACAAGGCTTCTCCCAGAGCTGTGATGTTGCTGACTGGAGATGTCCTTTAGTGCCAGGCAAAGAGCCCATGGTCCCTGCCTTTTCTTCTAGTCTTGATTCTATTTAGTTCAAGACACAGTGGATTATGGGTCATCTCTCAAACATACCTTTTCTTTCTTTGACATCATGCCTAGCACATCTGTAAGGTCTTCAAAATAAGTTAAGATTGTTTTCTTTCCTCTCTGGCTCTATCACAGATCACTGGCACTGCTACTTAGCAAAGAACATCAAATTTAGAGACACCCCCTGCCAGAAGAGCTCCTTCCATTTCTGCCATGCACTGGTCTACATCTGCTCTCTAAAACACCTAGTAGTAGGTTTAATGATAACAGCTGGACACACGTACATCTCTCTGAGTTTGAGGACCCAGGCCAGCCATGGCTACGTTAGCCAGACCCTAGCTAAAATAGTAGTAGTAGCAGCAATAAATACAGGCAACTCCAACAGGGGAGGCGTCCAGGAGGCGTCCTCTCATCTACCAGAGAAGCTTATTGAGGAGAATATTGGGAGTAATATCTAGAGACATGAACTGCAGTCAGTAAGGTATGCATATCAAAGTAAGCAGTTTTCTCCTTAAATGGAGTATACTAAAAGTGCTGTGACCTCAGTTTTGTTAATAGACACCCCCAAGGAAATTACAGATTACTATATACCCCAAATTAACTGGGTCACTCGCAAATAGAACCACAAATATTAATACCATCTACTATACAGACCATGGTTCAGAAAATACGCTGTTATCAGACAATACAATAATTCTGTAGGTTAGAGCCCAAAGTATTATTAATCCTAGTAGGTCCTCCTCTGACCCCTGTCTACAAAGCAGTGTGCTTAGATACAAAATGTACTATGACTTCTTACAAGCATAACGGCAGCTGCCAAAAGGCTCAGACACTGCCTTACCCTTTCTTAAGAGGCAGGGCAAGAACGTAGAGGGACCTTGACCCACTGGGTTCATCAGCCTGGCCTGTCCAGGATAGGTCACTGTTTATTCTCCTTATGAGCTCAAAGTACTGGATGCCCAGCTGGCACTGAAAAAGGCCTGGTCCCAGAAGTGCCTGCTTGCTCTCAAGCCTAGAAAGGCATTAGGCAGGTGGAAATTGCCCATGATCTGGCTGGCGCCTGCAGGCCTGGATCAAGTTCAGATTGCTTCATTCACCTTCATTCAGACCACTGTACGAGCCAAATCCCTCCACGGCATAGCGAAGTCTGCCTTTGTGGGAGAGCTAACTTCTACATGCTTCCCCCAGAAGTCCTCCTGCACCTGTAAGCCTCCTAACTGCAATGATACACGGCCTGGACTGCTACCTGTACTACTGGGTCTGAGACTCTCCGAATGATGCGGTACAGTCAAAAAAGATGTTTACCAACTACAGCTATGACCTTGAGACCCATTTTCCTTTCTGTGACATAAAAAAGCATTAGTCCAATGATGTCATTTTATATCTCATAACCAGTAAAATCAAGTCAAACGGTAGTAATGAACTGTTGAAAAAATGAGAAAAAAAATACAAACTGTATGTGTCACTATAATTTCCTAAGAACATTATTTGAGAGAGAGAACATTAGGAAAGAGGTAATTCCAGAAAAAGTGTAGCCATCCCACAGAAGCACCCCCACCCCCACCCCAACACAGGCAGGGTCTTAGATCCCGAATCTGCTTTTTAACTCTGAACAGGGGTCCAGTCCAGCTGGGCCCCCCTTACCCTGACGTTGTGGCACATCCTGGGGATGTTCTAACCACAGTGAACCCAAGCATCAACTTCCAACGCAAGCAAGTCCAAACGCCAGAAACACACGTCAGGCCTGCTAAGCCGCTCTGCGGCCTCAGCCGAGTCCTAGGACCCCGAGTCCCCTCCCGTAGCTTCCCTGCTGCCCCGTTCCAGGATCCGTCTCCCCGACCCTGACCGGCCGCTGTCCTGTCTGGTCCCGCCCGCGGCCCTGCGGGGAGACCCTGGCCGGGCTACGACCGCCCAAGGTCGGCGGGGGGAGGCCGCGGGTCGTGGACAGGCACCTGGCGGGACAGAGTCAGCCGGGGTCCGGCCGAGGCCAAGGGGGCGCCGGGTCGTGGACACGCACTGCTCCGCCCGCCCCTCGCCCAACAGGCGCCCCCCGCGCACCCGGAGCGCCTCACTCACCCCGGCGACGCCATGAGCGCAGCGGCCTGGGCGCTCCCGCCTCCTCCGCTGCTTGCGCGGCTGCCGCTGGGCGCCGGGGAGGGGCCTGCAGGCCGCCCCCGCCCGCTCCGCTAGGGCGTCGGGCGCCGTGGGCCGAGCTCCCGGTGGAGAGCAGGCGGGTGCCTGGGGCGAGGGAGAGGACGCCCAGGGCCCAGAGGACTGACGACTGCAGCCACTAACCCGGCCGCTGCCCTGAGGCTGGAACTCACCTGCTGTTCCAGACCTGCCCTGGGGCCACTGACAGATGCCAGACCGCAGGACGCCACCCTCTAGTCCCCGCATTCTGAAGTTAATTTCTGTAAGAAATGCACTTTCCTCTACCTCTGGGGTGTACGGGGTTATTACAGTTCTTAAGGAAAACAAAGTCTCTCCTGCTACTAGCCGGGTGGGGTAAGGTTGGCCTTTGAGCTGGTTACCCACTTTTAAAAGAAAGTGTGAATATTAAACCTTATATTGTATTACATAGAAATAAAAAGTTTAAAACTTGTGCAGTGGGGTTTCCTAACATCACCTACAAGCTATGAATACTTGGACATGTAAAATTTTGAGGCTTGGTTCCAGATCCTGACAAATTAGTTTCAAAGACAAATTATATCTTTAAAGCGAAAGTACCTAATTTAAAACAACAACTCTGGACTATGCAATGCAAACCACTGCTGGTGGCATTTGTGTTATCACATTAAGTTTTTTTTTTCAATTAATTTTTTTTCATACAACACATTTTGGTCATATTCTTTCCCTTTCCAGATATTATATACTTTCCTAACTTCATGTTCTTTTTCTTTATTTTTATTGAGACAGGTTGTCTCTTTTTAACACTGTCCTGCCAAGAACTTGCTGTGTAGACCAGGATGGCCTTGAATTCATGGAGTTCTGTCTGCCTGCTTTTGCTTCCGGAGTGCTGAGATTAAAAGTGTGCATCAAAAAAAAAATTTGAAAAAAAAAGAAAAAAAGTGTGCATCACCATGTGGTGCAGGGCCCAACATTAAGCATTAGCATTCCTTTCACCACTAAGAATATTAAACACCAAAGAGATAATTAAACTCTTTGTCAGTTACCAGAACATCTAGTCTGGAACCTGCTCCACCAATTCACTAGCTATAGTTATCCAGGTAAGACAGAACCTCTCCAGGGCCAGGGTTCCTCATTCTCTTCTTCTCTCTGAAGGCTAAATAAATGAATATTTGTTTGGTACTCTTTCCATCCTTGAATCCAGTCAATGCTTCTGGACATTCTTGTCCTCTTCAGGAAAACAAAAGCTAACAGTAACTGCTGGAGTTCAGAAGAGCTCCAAAGGAAAGCTGACAAATGTAGCAGCAGGAAGTCCGATACATAGTACAAATCCAGGAGAAAGGATGAGAAAGGCTGAGGCCTGGGCAGTCATACATGCCTGGATTCAAGGCAGTAATGCCTGCCACTAGAGGAAGCCAGACTGAAGCAAGTTTAAAGAAACAAAACAAACAAAAACCTAAAATGACCTGCAAAAGAAAGAAGCCTCTCCTGCCAGGCTGTGGTAGTGCAGGCCTTCAGTTCCAGCCCTCAGGAACAGCTGCGGCGGGTGGATCTCAGTGCAAGGTCAGGCTGAATCAATCAGATATGCTTCCTAGCCTGGTAATGTTTGCATTATTTGTGTGTCCAGAGACTTCCCAGCACTGGATCCCTCCCCTGGTGAATCTATATAACCCATCTTTATGTAACTATACAAAGAATGTAAGTGTAGTCACGTCTACTCTGTATTTAGCTGACTTTGTTCCTTAAGGAGACTTAGGTAGGCTTTGTTGTACATGTGGGCTTAATTATCACCAGTAGAGTTTTTACCAAATTGTAAATTTTAGGTATTTATATATACCTAAAATAACCCACTCAGAGTCAAACCCTTGAAGGTTGAACCAACATAGGCTACCGAGTCCTGGAACTAGACCTACAGATGGTTGTGAACCATCACGTGGGTGCCAGCAACACAACTCAAGTCTTCTGGAAGAACAGCCAGTGCTCTAGACTGCTGAGCCAGCTCCCAGCCCCTTGTGTTGTATTCTTAATGATGACAGAGGTATATTTATTGCCTAGACAACAGAGTCACATAATGCCATTCATTGAAAACATTGTATCACATTTTATACATCTCATGTAGAGTAAAATGAAAAAATAGTCTGGTATTTGGTAAAATGCAGTATTAATTTTAATTGACAAATAGTATTATTTATAAATATATTAGTTATCTATTCCAAGTCTCATAAATTTACATAGTTTCTTTTGTGACAGTTCACTTCATCTTGATAATGTGAATTGTGTCCATTTACAGAAGTAATTTCTGAGTAAGTATAATATCTTAAGTATGGATACTCTTACAACTAAGAAACTAAAGAAATCACTAAAAAATCAAAACCTTTACCTATCCCTAACCATGGGAACCCAAGTGTGCTATGAAGGAAATTGCCAACATCAAGTAACTACCACCACATTTCTAGAAAATTTTCACCATCTGGAACAGAAACTGATCCTTAAAACCTAACTCTGTTCCCACTTCCTCAACCCTGGAAGCTCTGCTCTGCTGTGACTGTTTGTTCTCTTTCTAGGATCTGTTTAATGGAATCAGAACTGTCCTTATGACCACCTAATCTCACTTAGCTATAATGGAATTCTCTCAGTTACCAGAGCATCTATCTCAGCTGGAAACTGGGCTCCACAACTTACTAACTATAGTTGCTCACAATGTATTCGAGATTCACTTTTTGCATTTTGTCTGCTCAGATTACCAAAAACCATCAATACACTGGGTGCCAGAAACAACATGGCTGGAGTTAAAAAAAATCTATTTGTTGTGGTTGTTTTCTGGTTAGACAGTTGATTCTCATGCCCTCATAGAGACTTTTCTCTGCATATGTATGGAAGCATGAGGAGGAAACAGATATTCTCCATGGTGTCGTCTTATTTTTTTCTTTTTTGTTTAAGCTTCCCACGTCATTTTAGAAAAGTCTTATTTTTATGTGTCTGGGTGATTTGTGTGCATGTATGTAATCGTATCACATGTGTGAAGTACCCGTGACAGAAGAAGGCATCAGATATCAGACCCCCTGGGACTGGCATCGTACAGTTGTGAGGGGCTGGATGAGTGCTGGGAACAGAGCTGGGTCCTAACAAGAGCAGGGTCAAGCTCCGGTTTGTTGTTGCTTTTTAGGAGCAGAAAATTCCTCAGCTCCCCCCCCCCTTTATTTTTTTGCACAGTCAGAAGCTTAGTGGGGTGGGGTCTTGATCCGAGGGCACCACTCCCTAGATTCCAATTCACAGCTTACCTCTTTCTTTCTTTCTTTTTTTTTTTTTTTTTTGGTTTTTCAAGACAGGGTTTCTCTGTGTAGTCCTGGCTGTCCTGGAACTCACTCTGTAGACCAAGCTGGCCTTGAACTCAGAAATCCACCTGCCTCTGCCTCCCAAGTGCTTATCTCTTTCAGCCAACCTTACATTTCCTAGTGTTTTTTTTTTGTTACTTCTATTGTACATTGTGTGTCTTTTTGCCCCATTTTTTCTTTTTCATTGTAGACCTACATAAGAACAATTATGAATAACTACATGAAAAAGTCAATATTAGGCTGTCTTGAAATCTCTACCAAGCCGGGCAGTGGTGGCACATGCCTTTAATCCCAGCACTTGGGAGGCAGAGGCAGGTGGATTTCTGAGTTCGAGGCCAGCCTGGTCTACAGAGTGAGTTCCAGGACAGCCAGGGCTATACAGAGAAACCCAGTCTCAAAAAACAAAAAAACAAAAACAAAAAACAAAAAACAAAAAAAAATCTCTACCAAAAACAAAAAATAGTTCATTACTTTTCAATTTAGCCTAAGGCATATTCTTAGGATGGGGGGGGGGGTGGAACAAAACAAAAACAGCCATAGTCTTTGTCAAAATATCACAAAAATGGTCTCTAGCACTTGCTAATATTGCTCTCCTCTGAAACCTGTTGAGCCAGAGCCTTCATAGTTCACACACAGTTCACATTCAGAACTATTGTCTTCTCAACTCCTACTAGGGTGCTCTATTAATCCTCACTTAGAGTTCCAACCACTCTCCCTGTCCAAAGTCCCCAAACTTCCACATTCCTCAGAAAAAGGGGGAGGGGCAAGGTCAGGCAGTAATACCCCATTCCTGGCACCAGCTTCTGCCTTAATTTTCTATTACTGTGATAAGATACCATGACCAATGCTGCTTACAGAAGAGTTTATTTGAGGCTTATGGTTTCAAAGGTTTAGAGTCTATGGCCATCATAGCAAGGAGCATGTCACCAAGCAGGCATGGCACTAGAGCAGTAGCTGAGAGCTCATACCCTGAGACACAACCATGAGGCAAAGAGAGAACGGAATGGTATGGTCTGTTGAAACCTCAAAGCCCACCCTCAGTGACACTTCCTCCAACATGGCCACACCTCCTACCCCTTTCCCAACCAGTTCTACAAGCTTAGGACCAAACATTAAAACATAGTGAGCCAATGGGGACTACTTTCATTCAAACAACCACAATCAGCAAGTGTTTTTAACCTCTGATCCATCTTTCCAGTGCATCCTCTTATAAGCACACCAATCCTATCAGATTAGAGCTTTTTTCTTATGAACTTATCTAATGCTAATTACCTCCTTAGAGGAAGGTCAAAGAATCAGGAATCTAGTCTAGAACATTCTAGTATTTCAACTATGTTATTATTTTCTTTGGTTTTGGTTTTTGGTTTTTTTTCTTTTCCTTTTTTAAACGTAAGATGATCTTACTGAGCTTGGTGATGTATGCCTTTAATCCCAGCACTTGGGGGGCAGGGGAGAGAGGCCCTCCCCTCTGTGTAGATCTCTGTGAGTTCCAGAACAGCCTGGTCTACAAAGTGAGTTCCAGGACAGCCAGGACTGCTAAACAGAAAAACCTCTTCACAGAAAAAAAGAAATTAAGGAAGGAAGGAAGGAAGGAAGGAAGGAAGGAAGGAAGGAAGGAAGGAAGGAAGGAAAGAAGGAAAAAAAAACCAAAAAAGTAAGATCTTGTTTGTTTAACCCAGGCTGGTCTTTTCAAACTCATTATTCTCCTGCCTCAACCTCTAAGAAAGCATGAGGAATAAGAAGGGTGGGGTGAGGGGAGTGATGTTTTGGTGTTTCAAGATAAGATCTCATCTTCTGCCTCCCATGTGCCACCATGCTTTACTAAAAGGGCATTTATTGCCCTCACTCTTTATAAAAACTGAAATAATGACAACAGTACTGAGTCTCAGAATACCAGTAACTTGCAAACACAGGAAAGTCAATCATACAGTAAAATGCTTTGACATTTACGGTGAGGTGGAGCTGGCACACACCTGTAATCCCAACACTTCTTGGGAGATACAGGTAGGAGAATCAGGAGTTCAAAGTCAGCTCCTGCTGCATAAGACATTTGATGCTAGTGTAAGCTACGTGAGACCCTGTCTCCAAAAAGCTGGTGAACAGACCCAAAGAAGCCAGATAACAAGGAGGGCCCAAGGGAGGATGGTTGAATCTTTCTAAAAAAGGGAAATAAAATCGACAACAGAGGTGGATAGAGGGAACTGGGCAGAAGGGACGGGAGGGATCACATGTAGGGAGAGCAGGGGAGAGAGAATGGAAATTGACAGGGGACACCTCTAGGATGTTCCAGAGACCTGGGACAGAGTGGGAATTAGGGGTGGCCTCAGGGTGTCTGTCTATGGAGGTAACTCTAGCTGAAACTCCTAGCAGTGGGGGATATGGATTCTGAAGTGGCCACTTCCTGTAGCTAGGCATGACTCCCAGTGAGTGGAGGGATAAGGACAGCAACCCACCTACAAAACCTTCCACCCAAAATGTGTCCCTGTCTGTAAGAAGTTCAGGCACAAAGATGGAGCAGAGACAGAGGGAATAGCCAAGCTGATACTATTAATGAGACTGTTATGCTTACAGACAGGAGCTTAGCAGGACTGTCCTCTGAGAAGCTCCAGTCAACACCTTACTGAAACAGATGCCGTGCTCCACAACCAGACATCTGATGGAGCTGGAGAAGTCTTGTAGAAGAACTGGAAGGACTGAGGGACCCCACAAGGATAGGAACGCCACAGGAAGATCAAGAGCCAACTAGGCTGGACCTCTGGAGCAGGGCCTATACCTCAACCTGTTGCCTGCTTATGGATCCTGTTCCCCTAATTGGGCTGCTTTGTCTGGCCTCAGTGAGAGAGGATGCACCTAGCCCTGAAGTGGCTTGATGTGCCAGGATAGGGGGTAATGTGGGGAGGGCTCCCCCTTCTCAGAAGAGGGGATGGGAGGAACAGCTGTGAGAGAAGGGCACTGGAAGGAGGGGCTGATAGCAGGATTAAAGTGAATAAGTAAACAAAAAAAAAAAGCTGTGAGATAGTTGAGTGGGTAAAGACACCTGATGCCATGCCTGTCAACCTGAATGCCTGAAGCTCCTAGGACCCATGTCATCATGTTACAAGAGAAATACTGTAACAAGATATCCTCTGACCTTTACAAATGGGCCCTGGCACAAATGGTTCCTATCCCTACCCCAAATAAATAAAATGTTAAAAAAAGAAAAAAAAAAAGGTATGGTAAGAAATTTCTGTTCATTTGAATTATTGAATATTTTAAAAACCAACAAAGTTTATTTAATTTGTAGCGCTAGGATTGAACCCAAGACTTTGCATATGCTAAACAAATGGTCTGCTACTGAGCAACTCAATGAAAGTTTTTATTTATATTATTCATTAAACAGTTTTAAAAGCTTTGTTTATTTGTTTTATGTGTATGACTGCTTTACCTATATGTACGTCTGTGCACCACATACATGCCAATACCTGCAGAAATCAAAAGAGGACATTGGATCCCCTGGGACTGGAGTTACGGTTGTGAGCTGTCACGTGGGTACTGGAGATTGAACCTGGGTCCTCTGCAAAAATAACAGTGCTCTTAACCACAGATCCAACTCTTTAGACCCAAATGTGTTTATTTTTTAAAAAATATCATATGGCCCTACCAACTTGCTCTCAGTCAAGGATGACTTTGAACTTCTAATCTTCCTGCCTCCTCCTCCCAAGTACTGGGGGGTACAGACAACAGGTTTATGTGTTGCTAGGAGCTGAAGCTAGGGCTTTATATGTGCTCAGTCAACTCTACCAACTAAACTCCATCACCAGGCTCCAAGGTGTTACTTTGGGCTGCAGATGGCCCAGTTAAGAGCATATACCGTACTCCAGAGGACCTGAGTTCAGTTCTCAGTACCCATGTCAGGCAGCGAACAGCAGCCTGAAATAACCCCAGCTCTTGTAAGATCCAATACTGCTGGCCTCAATGGGCACCCAACAGCATGTGCATCTATCTACCCACAGAACACACATACTTACAAAACAAGTGCTGGTTCTTGGAGAATAAAATCAGAAGCCTTTTTGTTTTGTTTTGTTTTGTTTTTGTTTTTGTTTTTTTCGAGACAGGGTTTCTCTGTGTAGCCCTGGCTGTCCTGAAACTCACTCTGTAGACCAGGCTGGCCTCGAACTCAGAAATCCACCTGCCTCTGCCTCCCAAGTGCTGGGATTAAAGGCGTGCGCCACCACCGCCCGGCAAAATCAGAAACCTTACTGGAGACATTGTTATTAATCTTACAGAATCAAAAGAACAGTTGTATACCAACAAACTAGATGATCCAGATGAAATGAGCAAATTTCTGGAGAGTTTGTAGAAGGAAGTAGCCATTTAAAGTGATATCTAATTGAGGAGCAGACAAAGTGATGAATCAGAGAAAGATTTGACAGAATGAGTAGAGATAGGGTATACCCAACTCTCAGGAGAACAGCACAGGAAAGAGAGAGAGCAATGCAGAAAGAGAGATGAGGCAATTTTACCAGGACAGTTTTATAGAGACAGGTTGCAGGGGAAGACAACAACTCAGAGAAGGAGCCAGAAGATTAGAACAGATTGCCAGACTTAGTATGAAGCCAAGCAAAGCAATTCAGTCAGAAGCCAAGAGAAGCCAGTTTCAGAACTGTTGAGTTGAACCAGCCACCAAGAGATCAGAAAGAGCTAGAAAGGGTGAGTTTATCCAGCAGTGAGCCTCCAAGATGACAATTACATGTGGCAGGTAAAGATATTTTACAATGGTGAAAGGAAAGAACCAACTCTCATAAGCCATCTTCTGACCTTCAGTGGACATGCCTACATAGACACATATATAAGTAAATAAAGGAAAAGAAATCACTGGAAATCCAAATGACCCTGTAAGAAGTAAAAATACTGAATCACTAATTAAAAACTTCCAAAGTCTAAGACCAAATGTCTTTATTGGTAAGTTCTTCCAAATTTTTTAGATATTTAACCTCAATCCTGCTCAAACTCTTCCAAAAAATAAAATAAAATAAAATAAAATAAAATAAAGCTATATATAAAAAATAACCTAGACCCATATCCTCCATAATTTAGTTACAGAAATCCTGAAACAGCCAGCACTTGGAAGGAGATACAGGTAAATCTCTGTTAGTTGAAGGCCAGTATGGTCTACATATTGAGTTCCAGGATAGCCAAAGCTACATAGTGAAATAATGTCTCCAAAAGAAAAAAGCTGGTTTTTTAAAAGTCTTTGGGGGTGGGGACCTGTAAAGACAGCACAGTGGTTAAGAGCACAGCATATAATTTTTCCAGAGGTTCCCTAAACTGATATAACTTGGCCCCAACCACCTCTCACTAGATCCAGGGGATTGATGCCTTCTGGCCTCCATGAGCCCCACACAGATATACACACAAATTTTAAAAAATAAATAAATATGGCTTGAGAATACCTACCATATGTGAGGTTCTGGCTTCAATCTCAATTCCTTTCTCCCTGTCCCCACCCTCTCTTCAGAAGTAGTGGGCTTGACTGCAATCTTAGCACTCAGAAGGCAGTAGGATCCTAAATTTGAGGCCAGCCTGGGCTACATAGTGAAAACTGTCTTAAACAAAGGGAAAAAAAATCTAGCAAATTGAATTCAACAGCATTTAAAGGGATTATATACTAGGCTGAGGATATGCTCAGTTGGGAGACTGCCTGCCTATCTTTTTTTTTTAAAGATTTATTTATTTACTTCATGTATGTTTGAGTACACTGTCACTATCTTCAGACACACCAGAAGAGGGCATTGGACCCCATTACAGATGGTTGTGAGCCACCATGTGGTTGCTGGGAATTGAACTCAGAACTTCTGGAAGAGCAGTCAGTGCTCTTAACCACTGAGCCATCTCTCCAGCCCACTGCCTGCCTATCTTAAAGCCTTGGCTTAGGTCTCCAGAACTAGAAGTGGTTCACATCAGTAATCCCAGCACTCAGGAAGTTAAAACAGGAAGACTGTGGTTTCACAGACAGCCAAGCCATACTTAGCAAGTTTCAGGTAAGTCTGAGCTTCACGGTGAGACCCTGATTCAAAAAGGGAGGGAAACAAGGGAAGGAGGGAGAGAAAGGAGAGAAAAAAAAGGAGGAGGAAGAGGAAGAAGAGGAGGAAGAAAAGGAGGAGGAGGAGGGAGAGGAGGAGGAGAAGAAAGAGAAGAAAAAAGGGAGGAAGGAAGGAAGGGAGGTAGAGAGGGAGGAAGGAAGGAAGGAGAGGAGGAAGGAAAGAAGGGGAGGGAAGGAAAAAAACCTATTTTAATAGGTCTACAGTAGTTTAGTACTGTAGTATAGGACTACAAGTTCTATCAAGGCAATTAGACACACATACAAAAATATTTACAGAAAATTAAAAAGCTTACAAATGGAAAAACAGGGGTGGGGGGGCATGGTAGCAAAGCCCTATAATCCCAGCATTCTCAGAGGTAGAGCAGAATAAAAAGTTCAAGGTCATCCCCCACTATATAGTGAGTGTTGTGAGCATACTGTGCCAGAAACACAAACACTAAATTCACAAGATTCAATGGTTTCAGTGGCAGCAATTTGTCAGATAATCCTGTTTACCTTGGTAATCTGGTGAAGGCAAATGCAGGTCCTTTCATTACAATATTTTTGTCCTGTGTGCAAGCATTTTTATATGTGGAACCCTTATGCTGATTTTGGAGATCATCACCTGTGGGACAGTAAACCATGCCAGGTAGAGCAGACTGAGATTCTGGAAACTCATACCTGAGATGGTAGGCAGCTCCCTGCTCCCTGCTAGATTCCTGGCCTAGAACATGTGCCACATTTCCCACATAAAGAAATGAGATCTGTGGTCACACAGGCCCAGAACCGAGTTCTCCAGGCTAATGAGGTACCTAGAGGCCCTGAGGGTTTAGCCAATAAGCTTCCCTTCCCAGACATTCCTCCCTGCAATAGGTATTTAATCTCAGGTCTACCCTAAGAAGTTGGTACATTTGCATCCATTTTCCATGATGAACAATCAAGAAACAGTTTAGAACCATCAACTGTCTATTTCATCTAGAATTGCAAAGGTCAGCTTGGAAAGGGTCTTTGACTACAAAGTAAGCTAAAGCTTCTGGCCAGAGCTTCCCTCTCCCACAACTCCATCCTGGCCCTGCTCATCCTCACAGCCTGCAGGTCCTCAACTCCATTCTTTGCTCTTCCACAACTCTGAGAGGTGCCTGGATATCCAAGAGTCTGAGACCCCCACAGCCCCAGCCTTGTCACAGGCCTGGGGACCCCCAACACTTCATTCCTGACTTCTCTGTGTGGTTCTGCAGAGGTGACTGGGGGCCCAGGAGTCAGGGAATACTAGCTCTGACATTCCCACATCTCAGACTTAGCTTTCCACCCCAATCCCTGAAGCCCAGCACCTGCCAGTGGCAGCGTGGAATAGGCACAGTCAAACTTTTTGCCTCCAGGAGGCCGTGCCCTATAGCAGGGCAGAACTCAGACCAACAATCAACATCAATTATTTTTATTCAAAGAGGCAGAGTCCTTCAAGCAAACCCAGAGCCTGGGCCAAGTCTCCTTGGTCAGCTTGCTTGGTAGATAACCTGTCTCTGCCTTCTGAGGCTGAAATTACAGTTCCAATACCCACTTGGTATTGACCTTGGTGATCAGAATTCTTTTTTTTTTTTTTTTTTTTTTGGTTTGGTTTTTCAAGACAGGGTTTCTCTGTGTAGCCCTGGCTGTCCTGGAACTCACTCTGTAGACCAGGCTGGCCTCGAACTCTCAAACTCAGAAATCTGTCTGCCTCTGCCTCCCAAGTGCTGGGATTAAAGGCGTGCGCCACCACCGCCTGACTAAGGTGATCAGAATTCTTGTCCTCACACTTGCATATCAAACACTTAGCCACTGAGCCATCTCCACTGTATAGTGACAATTTTGGAACTTAGTTTCTTTTAAAAATGTAGAAATATTATAAGAATGTGCTTCCATCTTAATCCCAGGTGTGGGGATGTGGGGCTGCTTTTGATTGTCCTCAGCAGCCGACTGATTTGCCTCATGCTCTAGCAGAGGCATGGTTTTGAAAGCTGCAGATAGTCTCTATGATTCTGTGATGTTAGGAATTCTGGGAACTTTTCAGAGGATATATAAATGCTAGAGCCCAGATTTTGGTGGGCGAGGTTGGTTGTGTGACAATGGTCAGTAACCATTGTCAAAAAAGAAAAGGAAAGATTAGATTCAGGGATTTTCCTAATTCCTCTCTCTCCTCTCCTTGTTTATCTAGTGCTAGAGAATGAAACCAGGGGATAAAGGAATGGAAAAAGAACCCACAAAGTAGCAAAGACCGGTAATACCTTAGCCCTTTTATTCCAATCAGTTTTTTGTTTGTTTGTTTTGAGTTCTCCTGGCTGTTCAGGCTAGCC